CTTATAGTCGTGGGATAGCCATTAGTTGAACACCAGGCTCTTGTTGTTCTTCTAATTTTTCCATGTCCTAGTACCTTAAGCATGCCACATAAAAGGCTAACAACTCAAGCAGCGACATTGTAGATTCTTATATACACCAGTGATTACTGAAATAGACGGGAATTTCACCCTTTCATAATCAGTATAGACTGTGTTTTTATTGGGATATATTCACATCTTACTTTTCTAAATTTTCATGCAGTTTCTAGAAGTAGTTATGAAATTCTTGTTGGCCAGATGTCGCAAGGTTTTAACTTGTGCTACTCTTTTTTTTTTTGTGCAGGTAAAGTCTATATATTACAAACTTTGTCGTTGATTCTCAAGCTAGTATGTACGTTTCTGTATGAATTTCTTGGGGGAGGAGGGGGTAGGGTATTCAAATAGGCAACAAAGAAACGTGTACTACTGGTTTGGTTTACAATTGCGTGTAGAACATTGCTTGAAGTGTGTAATCCTAGAACTTGAGGGATACCTGGCATTTTCTTCTTCTGTCTGTGTATAAAAGTTAGATATTTCCATAGTAGTGCCTTTTCCTCTTTGCTTTAATGTTCTCCTGCCTATGACACCAGTAGCCATATGATAGAGAAAAAGCCCAACCAGTTTAGGTGATATAACACTGTGATTATCAAATAAAGCATTTTTTGTTTCAAACTACAAGGTGTCCATAAATTATCTGACCCATTTCAGAAATTAATAACTTCACAAATATTATAGATAGAACACCCCAGTTTTATTTAAGTTGGCGAACAACTCATAAAGTTTTCTGTTTACTCCTTTCTGCTGCAGATCCTTGTAGGAGCATTGCTAGAAAATATTTCATAAATAACACATTCCCAGACAGATGGATTGGTATAGATGGACCAACACAATGGCCCTCACGTTTCTCTGACATAACTCAGTTGGATTTTGTCTTGTAGAAGGTTGTGAAAGATCAGGTATACTCGGGATGCTATGTGTGATATCGAGGATTTTCGCCACAGAATAATCGATGCAATAAGGAATGTGACTTTCAAGATGCTGAACAACACATGGAGGGAGATGGAGTATCGTCCAGACATTTTTCGAGCAGCACTGCATATGTGGAAGTTATTAAATTTTAAAATGGGTCATATAATTTATTGACACCCTGTACAACTGTATTTATTTATTTTCTTTTACTATCTAATTTGAATTTACCCTTTTCTTAACCTGCATTTTATGGGAATGTTTGACTTTCCTGCTGGACATAAGTGTGCTTGAATACCATAATCTTCTTGAACATTAATCCTAAAAACTGAACTGCTTAAAATGACACATAACTAATAAGAAATCAATCACACAAAACAATTCTATACATTAATGGTGTTATTCTTTATTTCCATCTTTTCTAATTGTT